ATATGGATCTTTGGTTGTTCGGGTTTTCTCCCGCGTAAGATTCAAAGTATCTAGGCAACGGTTCAATGAAGTCTCAATCATCATCTTCAGGCTTCTGTCTTTGGCTCTGTGCTTCTCAGAGTGATGTGAGATTGCAGCTGCATCCTGAATTGCATCCTGAACAGAACACGCCTCCAGCCAATCAGAACACGGCCAACCCCCCAACCAATCAGAACACAGCCAAAACCCCTACCAATGAGAACACACCCCCACCCAATCAGAACACAGCCAAGCCCCCACCCAATCAAGTCACACCCCCACTAGCAGTTAAAAGGATATATATATAGAGCGCAGTGTTTCTCCAGAATTGTTAGAATTAGTGTTTGATGGCAAAGAAACCCTCCACATTTCATTTTGGTTCAATCGGATAAAGAAATCAAGCTCTTTAAATGAGATATAATTTGCTTCCAAACCAAGTTGTGATTTAAATTCAACTATGTTGCCAGAGTAACATTATCAGTTTTACCATAAGGTCCAATTTTCTACCAATATATCCTCCACTCTTATCCAGATGTCCTGTACCAATTTATCCATCAGTTTCTGGGTCCACTTTCTTCCCTTGATTTTTGGGTATACGCCAATGACTAGGATAAGGGAAGCAAGGTGTATGAAGCAGGAAGCGGCCATATAAAGATGAATAATAAAATAAATAAACATAATTTTAGCATTGATTCAAATCTCTAATTTTGGAAAAAGGATCTAAAAAGATCCCTTTTAAGGATATATCATAAGTTTTCCCACTTTCCTGGGATTTGGTTGTTTTTTGCATCTGCAAGCCCAGCAATTTTCTACTTGTTTAGGGAATGACCAACAACTTACATATTTTGTAATATTTAGCAGATGAAGAATATTGGCATTCTTGGTTGAGTTGTAACAAATACTATACTTGTATTGTACTAAATACTTGTTTACTATTTTGCCATTTTTAATGCTGTTAAAATATAGATATCTGTGTATTTGTTATATATGCTGTTGGTAAAAGTTCGAAGGAATGAAAGAGGATAAGTTTTTGTATTACTGAAACATCCAGAGCAGGTGCATGTAGTAGAAACATTGTAACTTTATTTATGCTCTTAAAAGACAAGTGTGTTCTTTTTGAATAATTATTTTGCGAATATAATTATCTGTACTTATGCTCCTTTTCTTTTTTGAACATAGAGCTTCTTCTGTAAACTGAATGACCATATGCTTCTCGTACAAAAAGTGGCAGCTTCAATATTACAAAGCAGGGAGAAATACTGGAAGGATATGGTAGAGAAGATCAAATCATTAGAAGAAGAAGCTATTCAACAAGGAACCCATTTGGAAAAAGTTTTACAGGTCAGAGAGTAAAATAAAACAATGTGAAATGGGTTCAGACAAGTCTGTTGCACTCAGCTTCTAACCCAGAAGTTGAGTGAGAATACATTAATTTAATTTTAATCAATTTTACATGCATTTGGAATTTATCCAAATTCAAAACTGACTTGATACTGCTACAGCACACAACTTTGAACTGATTCAGCAAGGCTCTTTTTATATCTCAATAAATGATTAAATTAAAATATTTTTGTATTCATTATTCAATACCCATTAAGTAATGAGATTCAAGGTCATATTTGTAATGGAAGAACTAAATACATTTGTTTATGTTGGATACAACAGCTTTCCCAATTTGGCACCTTTATGATGTATCAGACCATAACTCCCATCGCCCCCAACCAATATAAATTTGTATAGGCCTACACATTTGGAAGAAACTGATTAAAGAAAATTATTTTATACAACCAGTTTACTACTGGCTTTTGGGAGCTACTAACAATGTTCTTCATCTTACAGGACTGGATGGCATTTGATGAGAACTACGTTTCATTCTGCCAAAAGCTGGAAGCACTTTCACCCACAATGCCTTTTGTGGCTTTAGTGGAAGAGACAGAAGAAAGAATAATGGAAAGGACTCATCTCCTCCAGGTATTGACTTCACCCTAGGTTCTGTAACTTCCATTGTAACTATGGTCATTATTGAACAAAACACTGTACAAAAGCTAATACTTGAATAATGTTTCCTCTATATGTAATTAAGGAATTGAAGGCTAAACATGTCTTTACAAACTAAATTGTCATTTCATGCAGTTCCATTTAAGAAGGACATTGACAAGATGGAATATGTCTCACAGACAGCATCAAGATGATTAGGGGCTGGGAGGAATGGTTAGATATGTTTGGCCTGAAGAAGAAAAGACTTTTCGGAAATATGTTAGCTGTTTTCTAATTTCTGAAGTGCTGTCATGTGACAAATGTTCAGAGTTGTTAAAGAAGGCAAGACAAAAGGGGTTTAAGTGACAAAAAAGTAGAATTTAGTTGGACATCAGGATAAATGTTGTAATAGAAAGAATTATTCAACAGTGGAATAGAGTGGCATAGGAAGTGATAGTCTCTGCTGGAGGTTTTTAAACTGAGTCTGGATTGCCAGACATTAAGATTGATATAATAGTATGATTCTGCACTGGGCCATAGGGTGGATTAGAGGATCTCCAAATCACTTTCAACTCTTATATTCTGTGATCTACAGGAAACATGACACTCTTCATAGCAGTTAGGCATTAAGTCAGAACACAGTAGATGTAAAACAATTATCTTGAGAGAAAGAAACAAGCCAGCAAACGTGTACAGCTCCCTCTTAAGAAAGTGAAAAAAAATCTAAATAGAATAAAATAAAGAAACAGATATGGGAGAGATCATTTTTTTCCCAATTAATGCTTGCGCAAAAAATTCATTGCAATTATAAAATGTGTTGATTGCCAAATTTAATTAAATGAACACTGAAGGATAAATAGATTTGCCTTTTTGTGTGAGATTAAAGAGAAATAAATTAATAATAATATGATCTGTTACTTTTCATTTATAATTTTATATAATTTCTTTATTGTTTCTAAGGAAATCCAAAAGAACATTGAAGGGGAACAGGCTAGATATTATCAAATAGTGAAAGAAGGGAAAAATTTGACAGAACTTCTGAGATGCCCAGAATTGCAATCCAAGATTGAGAAGCTGGAACATCAGTGGGCATCTTTTTCCCAAAGAGTTGGCCATGAACTACAAAGACTTGAGACATTGCACAAACTCTTGTCCAGGTAGGAGTTATGTTTGCTTGCTTTTGAAGGTCAGCTTCCCTGACCTGGTACTCTCAATAGACATAGTTCACAGAATTCCTTAGCAATCATGTTCAAAATCTGAAAATGCAGGTTGAGAAAGTAGACCAGTTCTAAAAAAAAACCCCTCACATAATAATAAACAATACACTAAATAAATGCTAAATATAAAATGGCTACCAAGCACCTAATAAGAACAAGCGTTATACATAGCTGGCCTCTTATTTGGGGGGAGAAGAGCTTCCTAAAGGTGAGATGAATTAGGACTTGTCATATATAGGAGCAGAGATCTTTCTGAAGAACAGGGGTAACCACAGAAAAGGGACACTTCCTAAGTCCCATAGGATGACAATATTTAAAAGAGAGAACATGGAGCATGTCCTCCCTGTGGAAATATGTTCTTGGCAGAAGTCAGTCCCTCAAGTAATCTAACCTTATACCTTTATTAGTAATAAGCAGCACCTTAAATCATACCCAAAAGCCTATCAGAAGACAATGCAGCTAGTGGAGTAGGAGTAAAGTACTCGTAACTAGTCATGGTTTTGCATTTTCTGGGTGAATTGAAGCTTTCAGATAGAATAGCCCAGTCAGAAGGGTATCAGGGTGAATAACCATTACCAGGACTCCTGTCCAGGATTGGGTACAACTGACATACAAGAATATCTGATGTTACTCCATCTGCTAACAGATAGCATATGGAAAGCTGATTTTTTTTCTTAAACAAAAAATAGCAAAAAGAGAAGTAACTGAAGTTATCTAAACAGTGAGGAGAGGGTAGACATTTTATATTTTCATTGCTCTCATGTAGGACTAGCAAATCAGATATAGCCCCCAAATTTCATCTGCCAGGATGCTCTTTAATAATCTGCTGATTATTAATTGCCTTATAAGCCTGTTACCAGTCAGAAACAGAGTTGTTTGAGGGATCTGTAGTGACTTATTGATTGTAGTTCCTGATTTGTTTTCTTTTGTTTTTCTTGAAGTTACAACAAAGATACAAAGGAGCTCAATGTCTGGTTGGAATCTGCACAGCAAAATATGAACTATTGGAAGGAGCAGTCTCTCAATGCATCTCAAGACCAGAATACTGTCAGGAACCATATTCAGAGTTTGCTTGTAAGTTAGACGGTGTTTATGTAGCAGAGATTGATGTAAAATTACAAGGACAGTCTTGCCATCTAATCTTGTACATTGCCTCCAATACAGGCCTACCATCTATCAATTAGTCAAATATGTTTTTTTTATTTTAAGTTTTGTGGCTAAGAGCCATTAATAAACATACAGTATTCTCCATATATTTATCTAATGCTGTTTTGTGAAGTCATCTTTAAGCCCATTATACTTCCTTTTCTAATCAATCTCACAGGATAAAGCCTGGTTCACTGCATGACACTCCAAAGGCTAGATTTGCACACTAATGTGATTTGTTTAGCATGGTTTGTTAAGACTGGGTGAATAATTCGGTTGTATTTTATGGTAATAAGTTACAGTTCAAAATCATGATTTGTTACTGACTATAGTTGTAACTTGGTGTGATTTTGGTATGCAGAGATGTAGAATTTATTTATAATTTTCTGGCTTATTCCTGATTTGGTATTACAGTATATCTTGTGCAAACCTCTAACCAAACCACAAAGATGCAAGGCAAATGAGCGAAAAATAAAGGGAAATTTTTCCAAATCAGTCATAATTGTTCGCAAGACTGTTCAAAAAATTGAGCTTAAAACAAACATTGACTTAATGTGATATTTGAATGTAGCTTCAACGCCTATTTACTGAGTCAAGCCTTCTTCGGTTTTCTCCAACCCACTCCCACCCCCTGCCATTACCTTTGCATATAGCAGGCGGACTCTCTTTTATGTAGCTGGTTGTATCATTCACAGCCAACATATGGGAGTGAATTATAATCTACCCAGACAAGTTATTGTCTAACTATAATTACTGTTGGAAGGTAACAGCTAGAACCAATAGTTATTTTATATAAGATTGCAAAGAACAATTTCTCCTCTCCTATTTCATAGCTGTTACATTTTAATGTTTTAGCCCTCGTTCTTGCAATTATTTTTGACTTTGTCATCTGAATGACTTTCTCATCTTGTATCCATTTGGTCTCTATCTGTCCAGAGGGCAGACAAAAATATAATATGGAAATGGAAAATGTCAATATAGAAAGTTTGAACCTGGGTCTAATTGACCTAAGCATTTCCATCTAAACTTTCAGCACTGCTTTTGGGTGCCCTAAGGTGTAAAATATAATGAGTAAATAATGTTGTGCAAAGGTTTGGACTTTGGCCTCCTCAGTCTATTCCCAGCTCTATCCAGAACACATAACTAGTGTTTGGCTTATTCTTTAAAAGTGGAAGGGGGAAGAACAATATTTTATCTCAGTTTAAAATGGTTTCGTAATGTAATATAATTAGCAAGCTTTTTTAACGCAACATTTTCATGCATACCTTATTTTTTTATTTTGTATGTGTCTTCAGGAATTCTCTAAAGAAGTTGATAATAAATCTTCCTTGAAATCTTCTGTCATAAGTACCGGAAACCAACTGTTGCTTACTAAGGAATCTGATGATGCAAAATTGCGCTCAGCTTTGGCAGAATATGAGCAGAGATGGACCAACCTTGTTGTTCAATTACCAGGCATCCAAGAGAAGTTTCACCAGGTAAAAAGTAATTCATCAGCAAAGCTACTAGGCATGAGCAACTTTGAGGACTGCCATAGTTATTAATTGGATACTGCAGAACATTACATATCTCTGTCATTTCTCTGTTTAAAAATCTTATCTGTCTGCTTTATCTATGGTGAATCCATCATACCGAAGTATTAAATACTACATTTGTTGCCATTCTTGTTTGTGATTCTGTTTACAAGTATTTGTACAGAACTCAAGGATGTTGATCCACAATTGTCTCACTAAAAAGTTTGACTGAAATTGCCCAATATTGTTCTTTATCTTTGACCTGTAATGGCAAATGTCTCAGCAGTTTAAAACATACTAGACAACCCCTTCAATTATGATTTCAGAGATATTTCTTTACCAGATTTCTCAAAGTCTTCAGTAATGATAGACTGCCTTCACTGGAAAAGTTCTTAAAAGTTCAGGAAGATATTCAGAGATGTCTCTTCCTTGAAAATAGCCCATGTAAAATGGTATTGCACAATCAAACATCAGCAGTTGAACGTCGGGAAATGTTTTATGACATTTTGCATTACATCCTAAAATGTTTTATGATAATTTTTATGTCATAAAATATTTTACAAAATTTGCCCAATTTCAATTTCATGGGAGTCACAGGTTCTGGGTTTTAGACACATTCTGTAAGTTAGTCCATGACCCTTGTTTTAAAAATTGTTGCCCTACAGTGCACTGTTTTGCCCAGTTAAAGTTTACAGAGTTTAGCGTATGATTCCTGTATAGTTGTGGGAGAAGAAGATAAGATGATGACATGTGCATCATGATATGCTCATGTGAATGACATTCCTTTTACATTTAATTGCTTCAGACATGATGATTTCATGACACAAATGCATTGATTGCATAATAATATGATGATGGAGACATTGTTCTGACATCACTGTAGCTTGTTACAGATGCCACTGTGCAGTTGTAAACTTTGTGCCCCTTTCTTAACTTGTGAACATTAGGAACAATTTGCTAAGATTAAAATGAACTGATCTGAAGGGGAATGTCTCCATCACAGTCAAAAATGACTGAAAATGAGATAAAAATCTAGAGCATTTCTGAATTGTAAATATTCTTCTGCAGGCAAGGCTGACTGTTGTTAGCTCTGATATCACTACAGAATAATAGGGGCAATTTGATGCTTCTTTACCAACAGTCTATATTCTATAGTTTAGAAGCCCATTGCAAGAGTATTCTGTCCTTTTTCTACAATACACCTAGCAGGAAGACAAAAGAGAGAGGCAGAGGTTGCAGTAAGTGAGAGAAAAGTGAGTGATTCCCATTAGTTGCCCCAGCTCCTACTCACCTAGCTGTTCAAAACATGCAAATGTGAGTAGATAAATAGATACCACTTTGGTAGGAAGGTAACAGTGTTCCATATGCTTTGTGGTATAGTCATGCTAGCCACATGAAAATGGAAAAGGGTAAGATGAGGATCTCCCCCTAGAATCAGACACAATTGGACAGGGAAACCTTTACCTTTATTCTGAAAACAATTGAGGGTTATGTCAATATATATATTTGATTCTCTGCTAAGATTTTAGTGAAATTAAGCAGAAAATAAGTGTAAGGAAACTTTGGAAAAGAGGAGAAGGAGGAATTAAGCAGAAATTAAGCAGAAAATAAGTTTAAGGAAACTTTGGAAAGGAAGGAATTTCCCTCTTGTACTGAAATTTTTGTTTTCATTTTTTTTAACCTACATCAAATAATCAGATGTGCAAGAATAAATGAGAAGGGATGTCTGCTCATGTTTATGGACAGAAAAATGCAGGAAAGCAAGGAAAGATGACATCAGCTATTGACCAAAGAGCTTTTGATTGCCTTTTAGAACTTCCTACTTTTCCCACAGTTATAAAAAATGTCCATTTAGAAAACCACCCAAAATGCATAGCAGTTTGTCATGTGTCTACCAAATAACAAATGAAAAAGATTTCATAGGAAAATACTTCTCACTTGAATATTCTGTGTTTATATTTAAATATCTTAGAAAATACATTAGATTTTGTTCCATAAAAATATAAGTATAATTTTCTAACAGCTCCAGATGGCAAAATTGTCATCTTATGAAGCCATCGCAGAACTGAATGCCTGGATGAATTGCATTGATCAGCAAAGAAGAGATGAGGTTGTAATTAATTTGCAAAGTTCTGCCAGCTTGAAAGGCCTTCTTAGGAGGTACAAGGTAAGCCAGACACTATAAGTTCATGATGTCTAGAAATGGTTTCATATCTTTTGGGCAGAAAATCAAATAATATAAATTCAAATAAGGAATCATACTATGTTGTCTGTTTGAGTCAACTGAGATCAAGAGAAAGGGAACTACCCTGTTTCTCCAACAATACGGCCTCCCCCAATAGGAAGTCCCAGCATGTTTTATAAGCATGAAATGAAATTAAGCCCCTCCCCCCAAATTAAGGCCTATATTAAAACATGCGAAATGGGGGGAATGGTGGGGGGGCTTGCCATTAGGAGGTACTTTTGTTGCACACCTGGATATGGTGCTGCCTGCATTGACCCCGATACTAAGTGCCTCACCAACGCCGAGGTCAACATCCAAGCCATCGCTGCCCGCCCGCCCAAAGATGCAAGGGGGGGGGGAGAATTAAGTCACCCCTGAAAAGATGGCCTAGCCAATTTTGGGGGGCTCAAAAAAAAAAAAAGACCCGGCCTTATTATATGAGAAACACAGTAGAATAATATTCTCTATATCCTTAGGGAATTAGTGCATATCCTTGCATCTTTGATTTGGTCTCTATGCAGAGTCAGTTTTATGAGCTAGGTTTCTATCTGTCTGTCTGTCTGCTATCATCCATCATCTTAATATTGTCTACTTCACCTTATTTTCCCACTACCTATCATCCAAGCCTCTGGGTGTTCAGACAGCAATTAGCAGGTGTCTGACAGATTTATCTGTATGAGTTTGTGGGAAGATAAGATATTAATATTGGTATGACAAATATTTATTCATTCCCAAGATAGATTGATATATATAGTAGGTAAAAATCAGACTAAATATCTGGAATCTCTATGCAATGTTTTCTTCTAGAGTTTTCTTTCTACTTCTAGAGATCTATTATATAGTTACTCTATGGTGAGATAGAGGCCAATACATCTATCAAAATGTTGTCAGTTTTTTTTCACAGAAGGCATTTCAGCCTTTCATTTTGTCTATATGATTAAACATTTTCTGTGTTTAATTCACTAATACTATCATGCAAATAAAGC